TTTAAATGGATGCAAACCCATAGAAACCTTCATCAAAACGCCTGCATATCAAAGCCTTGGTCTGCTGATAGATTGGAGTTCTGACCAGCAGTTTGCAAAACCATTCCTATACGTTTTGTGCTGCCGCTGACGTACCAGCTGCCCAGGGCTCGCTCTGGGCCAAAAGCAACCACAGTGGCTGAGCCCAACTAGGACACATTTGCCATTTATGATCACCATTGTAATGGTGTTGACCCTACTCATAAATCACACAGAAAAATAGAAGTGTTTATGTGGCCTTCTACCAAAAAAAATAATCATTCCAGAGTATTTGCATTTATTATTAAGACTACACCAGGAGAAAGAAAAAAAAAAAACTTTTTTTTTTTTTACCTTAGAAAACATTTTCAGAAAAAAACAAACAAAACAAAAAACCTTCCTGAAGTTTTCTACTTAATGAATCTAGCATATTGGTGCACCCGGCTGGCTCAGTCAGTAGAGCGTGCAACTCTTCATCTCTGGGTTACTTGAGCCCCACGATGGGTGTAGAGATTACTTAAAAATAAAATCATTAAAAAAGTTTCTTTTTAATAAATAAATCTAGTGTATTGTGAGGAGCAACATATTCATCTGGACACCTTATGAAAATGGCCTTAAGGGAACATTAGGTCCAAGGTCACATCTAACTTTTACAACTGGGCTAATGCTCCATCACAGTGCTGGAAGACTCAGAGGCCGGAGATTTCAAGGTTCAGTCCGCATCTGAAATCCAGAAAAACAAAAAGCAAAATGTACAGGGGCACCTGGGTGGCTCAGTCCGTTGAGTGTCAGACTCTTGATTTCCCATGATCTCAGGGTCGTGGGATCAAGCCCTACATTGGTCTCTGTGTGCAGGGCTCAGTCAAGTCGGCTTGGGTTCCTCTCTCTCCCTCTACCCCCACTCACTTGCACTCTCTCTCAAATAAGTAAATAAAATCTTAAAAAAAAAAAAAAAGCACAATGTACAGGCCAAATGATTGCAGCTTTCTTCTCCTGCATCCTAGATCTTGTTTGTTCACAATAGTCGCAAATTACTTTTTAGGTTCGCCAGTGCCCCTTAGCAAGGGGAGAAAACATAGGGAGTTAAAAAATGTTTTTGAATGTCCAAAGTTTCAATAATTCTGTACCATTTGATCAATTATGAAATAGTAACCTTAGAGATTTTTAAATAACCTTCTCAAATAAGAATGAAGATAACTAAACATGAGCTCAAATTTCCCTCATTAAGTGGGAAAAGTTTTTACACATATTTTCATGATTGTTATATAAAAAAGGTAAAGGGAGTTGAAGTATTTTTTAATATTTTAGAGAGAGCATGCACGTGCACACAGACACACACACACACACACACACACACACACGAGTGGGGGTGAGGCGGCAGAGGGAGAAAGAAAGAATCTCAAGCAGACTCCCTGCGGAGCACAGAGCCCCCCAACTCAGGGCTCAATCCACTACCCAGAGATCATGACCTGAGCCAAAACCAAGAGTTGGATGCCTAACCTACTGAGCCACCCAGACACCCCGGGAGTTAAATTTTTTTTTAAAGATTTTATTTATTTGAGAGAGAGACAGAGTGAGAACACGAGCGGGGTGAGGGGCAGAGGGAGAAGCAGACTCCCAGCTGAGCAGGGAGTCCGACACGGGGCTCGATCCCAGGACTCCAAGACCATGACCTGAGCTGAAGGCCGACGCTCAACTGACTGAGCCACCTAGGCTCCTGGGAGTTAAAATTTTTGAAAGCACAGTTATGTGCAAGAGGCAGCAGTTACCACCTGCATCCGTATTCCCCCCCTGCACTTTAAGACGTGGTCTCGGGGTCATCTGACCTGGAAGGAACCACTATTAACTGGAGCAGTCACAAAATCTAAACTCTAGTTGTCAAGAAAAGTCACAATAAGGTAAAATCCCAGAAGCAGTACGGGCAGAAACGAAAAGGTCACACACTTGCTGTGTGGTGGAGCAAGGAATCAGGACCAAGCGTTCCCAAAAGAATTCATAACAATTACAAAAGTCAAGTAGCTTTGGGGGTGGTTAAAAAAGTTGACCAGAAAGAAGAAACTAGAAAATAATCAAGTTCAGTGGAAAAACTCATTTGCAGGTTTACGGTCAACCTCAGAGCATTTTCATCACACCCCCAGGGTAAGGATTTTGCAGCAGCTGTGGGCAGAAGGTGTACCCCAGGGTCACAAAAGGAGAAAGGAAGTGGACGTACAAAGCCCCAGCAGAATCAGACAACCTACACCAGCTGAGGTCAGTGAGGGTGAGCTGGGTGTACACACCTCGGACCCTCGACCCACTTCAAAGCCTTTGTACCTAAAGCATTTAGCGTTTAGGAGGTGTTCAAATGACAGGTGTTTAAAAAATCTTTACTGTGGCAAAATATTTAACAAGATTTACAATTTTAACCATTTTTATGTGTACTTTTTTAAAAGATTTTATCCACTTATTTGAGAGAGCGAGAGAGCACAAGCAGGGGGAGCAGCAGAGGGAGAAGGAGAAGCAGGCTCCCCGCTGAGCAGGGAGCCCGATATGGGACTCAATCCCAGGACCCTGGGATCATGACCTGAGCAGACCCTTAACTGACTGAGCCACCCAGGAGCCCCATGTGTAAAATTTGGTGGCATTATGGACACTCACATTGTTGTACAATTATCAGTACTATCCTTCTCCAGAACTTGTTTAATCTTAAGCTAAAATCCTATACCCATCCATTAAACAACTCCCCCTTTTCCGTAGCTGCTGGCAAGCTCTATTCTACTTTGTCTCTGTGGATTTGACTACTATAGGTAAGTAGTGAACTCAATCTCTAGGCCTGAGCTGGAGGAACTCCAGCCACAGGGGTCACATCAGCAAACCAAACTTTGCTGTGTCTGTAAATGCTCCGACTTGACCCGGAACACCGTATATCCAGTCAGCCAATCCCCAAATGCTGAGCCAACTCTGGGCTCTACTTAGCTCCTCCTAACTTGATCTTTCTAAATTGGGTCACGTATGCACGCCCAGACCATCAAATTTCCTGTCTCTGCATTGCTCTGCTAAAGCTCTGTATCATTCCTTCTTGCCCCATATCCCTCAGGAAGAGTGTTCATTGCTAGTGAGACACTATATTCCCCCATCCACGGCTTGTTTTCTTTTACATAAAGGACAAGCAACACTAATTTATTTTTGTCCTCTGACAGTAGAATCACACAGTATTTGTCATTCTGTGATTGGCTTATTCCACCTAGCATACGGTCTTCCAGATTCATCCCTGTTACAGCCTGTGTCAGAAGCCTTGCCTTTTTAAGGCTGAGTGGTGTTCCATTGTATGTATAGACCATGTTTTGTTTGCTTATCTGTTCATCTGTTAATGGACACTGGGGTTGTTTTCACCTTCTGGCTATTATAAATAATGCAAATGGCAAATTTTTTTTAACTATAGATTTGTTTATACCAAATATACACATTAAGCAATCAAAATAGTTTGCCCCAGGCCCACAAAGGTTGTCTTCTTAGAATATCTTCTTCATGACCCTATGTGAGGGAAATACAGATAACCCCTACTTTCTATCGATAAAAATCCTATTTAAAACCTCTCATTACCTTTTCACACCCAGAGGAAAAAAATAGTTCGACTACGAGGAAAGAAACAAACTGCTAATCACAGTCATTACAAACTGTGAAGTTAATACAGAGCAATCTAAAATTTGAAAATGCCAACCACTTACAAATTATAGGAAAGTATCTGTGCTTCAGTGGAAAAATTATGCATGGTTCACCTCATCCACTTTTGGGTTTTCCAGTCTAGCCTTGCGCAGCCTAGGTCACAATAGGTTGAAGAGAACCAGTGGCAACAGAGGATTCTGGTCTGTGCATATGCAAATGAATCCGTCCCCTAGAGGGGCAATTCTTCCCCCCCCCCCCCCCCCCCGTGGCAAAGCTGCTTTTGTATCATTTTCAAGTTCAATATTCTTGGATGGATTCCTGGTAGAACTGGATCTACCAGTCTTTCCCAACCTTTCCCAGGGTTTTGCCAACCACTTCCAGCCTGCCTGGCTCCCTCTCTCCAAACCTCCCTCAGATGGGATGCAAGTTCATCGCCAGAAATTTTCTAATTTCCCCTCCATGCCTCACCCAACCCAGGGATTCATACACCACACTTCTGATTATAACCACCCTCTTCCCCTCTCCTTCAGGCAATCAAATCTTCAGGAAGTAAAAGTAAGCCACAAAGAGACCCAGGCCTCAGATCACAGACCTTCCATTGGAGCAATATGCCCCCAAATTAGTTCCTGAAGCAGGGAATGGAGGGTGGGTGGAATCTTAGTTATTACGTGGCCTTTCAAACTCAACCATACTTACATATTTCATTTCTCTTCTGAGTATTTAATTTTTCTTAGGGAGAATTTAAATTTTTCTCCTTGGGGAAAAATCATATGGTAAAAACAAAACAAAGACACCGCCTTGGGTCAACATTTCTTTATCCATAGCACTATAGGGTTCCCCGAATCGTGAAATTTTTAATCCTGCCCACATTTTTAGGTCTTCCATTTACTTTTTTTTAATGTTTTATTTATTTATTCATGAGAGTCAGAGAGAGAGAGAGAGAGAGAGGCAGAGGCAGAGGGAGAAGCAGGCTCCCCGCCTAGCAGGGAGCCCGATGCGGAACTCGATCCCAGGACCCTGGGATCATGACCTGAGCCGAAGGCAGATGCTTAACCATCTGAGCCACCCAGACGCCCCTCCATTTACTTTTTCAACCAATACTTGAGGCCCTAAGCGCTGGTGACACAGTGAACAGACAGATGTGGTTTTTGTACTCCTGGGGTTTACCACCCAGCTGAGGCAAAGGATGGGGTGTGGGAATATAAGAGATTATGGAGTTGTTGTTTTTTTAAGTCTAAAAAGATGCACAATGGAGCTTTGGAAAATGAAAAATGTCATGTAAGTTTAAATTGTTACATCACAAAAGAACGAGGACTGTTACATATCCTGTGTTGGGGGGAACACTGACCATAAAAGGAAGTTGTTTTCCTGGGGGAAAAGAGCAGTGTCCCACACTGTAAGGGGTATGTAGGAACTTTCAAACTACTAGCTCTAATGGTAATTTAAGTGTTGTTAGCATTATCACATTTTTGTAAATTGGTTCACTTTTATCTAAAAGGAACTCAAAGTAAACAGAGGCCCTTTGGAAGCAGTGGTGGTAGGGACCACCACCAGAGGGAAAGCTTTGGCAGAAACAGCTGGGACAAACCAGCCTGACTCCTGCTAGCCAGCCTGACTCATTACTCCTGTGTCATCAAGTTACCATCCCACAGCTGATTAGTGAGTGAAATGCATCAGGTGCCAAGCCTTTGGGCAGTGGGCCTCACACAAACACGCCCTCCTTTTGGTAGGTGGTTAAAGGGCTCAGGTTTAGGGGGTCATGTAGAATGAGGGACAATCAAAATGGGGACACACAATCAGAGAAGGATGGAGACGCACAAGTTTATCCTTAAAGTTATTTGTTGGGTACTTGTTAATTATCACCAGTTCCAAATAGCAAGAGGACAGAAGTCACATCTTTTTCTTAAAAAGCTTCATCATTTTATACCCTTGTGAATAACGAAAAAATTTTTATAATTGGGCTCGTTGGCAATAGATTTGTATTTCCATGACTTATTATACTGAAGTTTTGTTGTCTCTTGCAAGGTTTGAAAATTCTGAATGCATACTCTTAACACCGGTTGGCACGGAAGCTAAGCACTATGTATTAAATAAGTTTTAGCTAGCAGCTCAAGTGATTAACCAGGATATTTCTCGGGTCAGAACTTTTACCAAATAATTTTTTTAATTAAATTTCAAACCCACCAGGCTACATTATAAACAAAAGAAACTAATTTTAAAAAGTTAGAAGTCTCCAATGTTTTCAGGAAAGTGATAGCTTTTTCCTTTTCCCTGAAGTTTTAAGATCTCAAAAAAGTAAAGATGTCGGCAATGCTAATAAAGAAGAAAAAAACAGAAGGAATGGAGGTATAACCACCCCCAAGCTAAGAGAAGGAAGGTGGTAGAAAGTTCTATATATGCTTCATTCCCCACTGGAAAAGCATAAGGTTACAGTTTGTGGTGCTGCTGTTAGTCCTTAAATAGGACACAAACAAGGTTTTGCTTATGAGCAAACAATAAGGATTGGCTACCTCCAGGAGCCTGGATTGTGTTGCCCTTAATGGGAACGGTCTGCAGTAGCTGCCTGGAGCACAGAAGCAAGGTGAGGCCATGTGTTCTTTCTTGATCCCACCTTAGATCCATCAAACAGTTAAAAAAAAAAAAAAAAGTCAGGACAAGCATGCCAGGCAACCATTCCTTAACTCTTATCAATGATTACAATTAGGATATTTTTGTCCAAAACAAAGCATTTTGTTTTGATAAATAAAATTTGATGGGTCTATACATGGATAACATGGATCCTACATAAGATTTCTTACCCACTATTGTAGAATGGTTGCCTTTGGTTACATACCCTTTTATCACTCTATGGGGAGAACCCACTCTATGTAAGGTAGTAGGAGGGACGCAGGCAAACAACGTGGAATAAATAGAAATAAGGACTTAGTCCCAACTCTGAAGGAGATTCTAAACATGGTGTGCAAATGAGGAATATTTAATAATAATTAGCTTGTTCAGAGAAATTAGGGTTTTTCAATTGCTGAACAGTGAAAATCCATTTTGATCACATACTCGTTGGGGAGGCTGTAGAAGTTGTTCTCACAAATATTACCATTGGAAGTGAGGATTAGCCAAACCCAACACTGCCCTCGGGCCATTCCACATCTAGGCATTTATCTGCAAATATGCTTGCACAAAATGCAGAATGTCCAACATACAAGGTAAGTTAATGCAACTTGGTTTATAATTGTTTGTAATAATAGCCGTACTGCGTCCTATGGCCTTTGTAACCAATTCCCATAAACACAGCAGCTTAAACAACACAAATTCATTATCTTACAGTTCTGGAGGTAAGACGTCTTGGCTGAGGTCTTGGCTGAGCTAAAATCAAAGGCTTGTTCTTTCCAGAGGTTCTAGGGGAGAGTACATTTCTGAGCCTCTTCCAGCTTCTAAAATCTTCCCACATTCTTTGATTCCAACGTTCTAACACTCCAAATTCTGCTCACATCCCCTTCCAGACTGATGCTCCTGCCTCCCTCTTAAAAAAAAGGACTCTTGTGATTGATTACACAGGAGCCACCTGGATAATACAGACTACTCTGCCCTTTCCATGACCCTTACCTTAATCACAGCTGCAAAGTCCCTTTGCCATGGACGGCGACACACTCACAGGTGTAGGGGATTAGGGTATCAGACATCTTATACTCACCCTATCACAGTAGCAAGAGCTTGAAAACTGCCTCTCAGTTGTGGACGGGTTAAATAAGTTACAGCAAATTTCTATCGTGGAATATTATACAGTTGTTTAAAATATGAGAAAGCTCATGTAATAAAAAGAAAGCAAAATATAACGTTAGGTGAAAAAAGCAAAATACAGAACAGAGATAGGAATGTAGTATATATAACGTCCTTGTATATATAATATTTCAACTATCCCTGAAATGATCAGAAGCAAAGAAGGTGCTTGCCTGTAAGGCAGGAACTGAACGGCAGTATTACAAGAATGAGACTTTTCACCACATACTGTTATAATTTTTTATTTTTGAAATCTGTGACTATATTACTTATCCCAAACCACAAAATAATAAAGTCTAGAAAGAGGAAAAAGCAGCGCAAAGGAAGTTATAGTAGGGGGAGATCCATGTGGCTTGGGGTCAGAAAGGCCAGGTTTCACAGCAACAGGTACAAAGCGGTGTCTGATTCCAAGGCTGCATAACAAATGACCTCAACACTTAGTGGCTTCAAACAACAAGTACCCAACAATTGTCTCACAGCTTTTGAGGGTCAGGAATCTGGGAATGGCTTAGCTGGGTGGGTCAGAGTTTCTTTAGAGGTTGCAGTCAGGTTGACAGCTGAGGCTGGTGTCATCTCAAGGCTGGGCTGAGGCTGGAGAATCTGCCTACAAGCTGGTACTTGGCCTCTGTCCCTATGTGGGACATTCCATAGGGTGCTTGAGTGTGTCCATGACATGGCAATTGATGAGTAATCCGGGAAAGAGAAAAGGAGAGAGGGAACGAGGGAGGAAGGGAGACAGAGAGAGATTGAAGACCAGTCCAAGGCAGAAGCCCCAGTCTTTTATAATGTAATCTTGGAAGTGACATGTCACTTCTACCATATGTCACTGGTCACACAGACCAACCTTGGTACAACGAGGCAGGATACAGGTGAGGACACCAGGAGGCAGAGGGCTCCTGGGCAGCCATCTTGGAAGGAGGCTACCATAGAAAGTAGAGAGCAGTGGAGGGCAGGGCTCTGGCGAGTAAACATGAGGGAGGAAATAAAAACGTGAATGACTATAGTGAATGTGGAAGACAAGAAGGAAATAGGCCTAAGTAGAATCATAAATATATCCTGGGAAGCACTGAAAATAAAAATATGGAGAGTAGGGTTTGCCTCAATTACCAAGCCCCTGATTCACTATTCTTGCCATGCTCACATCTGTGTTCTAGTCCTAAGCAGAAAAATATTCTCTCTTATCACACTGGAAGATTCTTTCATACATGTTAGCTTCTCTCTTCTGCTAGGAGGAGATGTTCGAAGACATGTTCATACCCCTGCCACCCTCTACCAGTAAAAGGAAGCATGACGCTGTGGCTTGAGCAATACAAACTGACCGGCTCCTGCAGCACCAGTCCTGACAGCCTTGAGAAACTATTCTTCTTCTTAACAGATTGCCCAACTCTTAATTACAGTTCATTTCAGAACATTTGTCTCTTCTTTTTCAATGGCAGCAGTGAAAGAACAGACATCAGGTGCCTCCTGATAAGATGTAATGAAAGAGAGCAGCATCTGTGTAATATTACACTCCGTGTAAAAATATTTGACTTACAACATCAGGAGGCAACAATCAGACAAATCCAGCATGGAACCTTCTATAAGACAACTGGCCTGGCCACTTTGGAAATATCAGTGTCACAAAAGAAAAAAAAAATATGGAGACTATTCTACATTAAAGGAGGCTGAAGGACTATGACAACTCAATGCCATGTTTAATCCTGAAGAGGGTCCCAAGCATTTAAAATGAAAGAAAAAACCATAAAGGACATCATTAAGACAACTGGGAAAATATGACTAGGGACTATGTATTAGATAATATTACTATATCAATGTTAAATGTTGGGGTGTATTAGTAGTATTGTGGTTACAGAAGAAAACGTCCTGGTTCTTAGAGGAGAAAGATGCTGAAGTATTTAGGACCATGGTGTCATGGTGTGTCACTTTCAAATGGCTCAGCAAAAAATGTGCTTATGTACATTTGTGAATGTGTGTGAGTGTGGGCAGGGGAGAGAAAGGCAGAAACCAAGTGTGGCAAATTGTGAACAATCACATCTATGTGAAGGGTATGGAGGTATTCATTGTATGACCTTGAACTACTCTACAGCTCTGAAAATTTTCAAAATAAAAAGTACATATATCTATGTTTCTGCATATACTTCTGTTCTATGTACATATGTATACATATATACAAAAGAGAGCATAAACTTAAGAGAAGTTGAGTATTTATGTAACTATAGTGCCCAAGGGGACTAAGTCCAATCTTGAACAGAGCCGTTATTCTTTTAAAGATCGGAAAAGCCCACCTCACAGTTCCCAGTGGGGACAGACTAACCCAAAAAAACCTTGTCATTCTAAGGAGCTGAGCCACAGAAGGCAGGATGTAGATCTTTCCATTTCTTATCCCACTGGAACAGGTGATGGACAATCTTCTGTGAAGGAGAAAGGATCCAAATGTTCAAAGTGCAACGTTCATTTGAGTCATGCAGTTACTGAACTCAGCCATTCTTAACTGCATTCCTGAAGTAAACTGGGAAGTTTTGTTCTGAACTTTGTCATATTTGGTCTTCAGTGGTGAAAGAGGCAGAGGGGGCTTGTGATGCAGGCCGCAGAGCATCGCTCAGAGGACGCTGGGACGTAATGGACGTTT